GGGGGGGGGGGTTTGTAGTGGTAAGAGTGGCAGTGGATTAGGATGCAGGACAGGTGAGCTCAAATTCCCACCCAGCCATGAAGCTCCCTGGGTGACCTTGAGCCAGTCACACACTCGTTGCCCAAACCTTTCTCACCAGGTTCTTGTGAGTTAAAGCGGAGAAGAGTCATGCACACCACCTTCAGCTCACTCGAAGAAATATAAACGCAGCACATAAAAAAAATTAAAGCTCCTCGATTTAGAACCTTGATATGTGTAACAGCAGCAAGGAAGTCTTGCATCCAGCTACAACATACACTAAGGACACACAGGTTGAGACATTGGCAAGGGCATATGGTGAAGAATTTTACATAACATAAGAGCAGCCCTGCTGGATCAGGCCAAGGGCCCATCTAATACAACTTCATGTATCTCACAGTGGTCCCACCAGATGCCTCTGGGAGCACATGAGACAACTAGATACCTGTCTCCTGATACCCCTCCCCTGCATCTGGCATTTGGAGGTACCTTCATTTTAAGACTGGAGGTTATATATCCCAATTATGGCTTGTAACCCATGTGTGTGCTCCTCTTCTGTGGCAAAGGACTTTCCATAATAGAGACATGAAAAAGGAACAGAGAGAGACCACCAAGCAGGCAACCAACATACCTCAAACAGTTTAAATGGTACCAATTTGTTAGACCAACCGTTTAATAGAATTTGTTTACTATTTCAGTAGAAGGGTAGGGTGAGGGTGGGAGAGAATACTAGAATGCCATCTGGCCTTGCTTTCCATTATTGAACTCAAATGCCCTCCTTCTGGCTGCAATTCCTTATGGAAGCAGATTGAAGCAAAACTCTGCCCTCATCGCTTCTTGTGGTGCCCATTCGAAATAGTCAGTGCCAGAAAAATAAATAGTGATCTCATTCAGTTTAATATTAGACTGCAATGGGACGCGCCAGAAAGGAACACTTTCTTTTTCAAATCCCTGAACTGCATGCAGCCCAGATGTATGTTAAGAAAAGGCCACATGCAGTGAAAGAAGAGGCAAGAGACAAAATGAAGGGTTTAGAACTATACTGATTAACAAAACCCTGGTACGCAGGTTTGCACTATAGGAAAATTAAATGCAGTAGCTTGGTTACCTCCCTCCTCAAACTAATATAAGGTGACCTTGGGATCATAAAGCAACTACCAGTTTCAATCCTGGCTCCTCAAGACCCACAGCCCTAGGTTTTGGCACAGGAGACTTGTCTAAATCAGTCACCCTCAAACCAGGTAGACCTAATGGATGCAGCAGGAAAAAGCAAGGGTCTACAAGCCAGGTATGTGCCTTTAATTTGTTAAATGTACATTCCACTTTTCCTCCAGGCAGTTTACAGTGCAATAAGGTACCTTGAGCTCAGAAACAGCAATTAGTACAAGGCCATCCAGTGACTTTCACATCTAGGGTATTCTGGGATTTGAAATATCTTCTCCAAAAGTATCTTTCCTCATCTCTGGTTCCAATGTAACCCTCTAATCCACTACACTGGTACTTGCAGTAATTATGAGAAATCACCAACACCCAAAGGTAAAATATTAAAAAAAATCTGAAATTCTTTATGCAGTGTTGAACAGGCCAATGCACATAAACAAATCATCAAAGCCAACTGGCATCTACAAGAAAACCCAATGAAGCGACCCTCAATTCTCACACTGACCAGAATCCTATTGCAAAATACTGTAAGACATTCAAAAAGGAAACTGTGCAAGCAGTTTTTGCAGTATTCTGGCATGCTGTGACGTTCCAAGACATATACATAACTGGGTGCACAAGTGAATGTGTGGCCTCAGCATGTGGGGTGTACTAATTCCACTGGATTCTGGTAAAATAAGGGGTGCCTTACCAGTACAAAAGTGAAACCAAGAAGGATGGCATGCGTATAATAGTTGGCTTATAAACCTACAACCATTCTGGATGCTAGGCAACACAAGGAACACAGTTATGCACAATTCTATATCTTATCCCTTCCTCCTGACAGGACACTCATCACTCCCACCACTAGGGCCATCCTATTTACAACTGAAAACATCTTAACTGTAACCAAGAGCAACTTATATTCTCACATAGTGAAATGAGCTACCCACCTCCAAAGCAAGGGCCCATGGCCCACCAGTATGACACTTTACACTTATCACGAACATAGGTTCCACATTTTGGAAAAGAAAAAAAAAGACAGAATGACCAACCGTGCAATAAAAGAAGTATCTTTTCATTCCTACCAGAAACGATTAAGAGTGTTTTCCTTACTGGAGAGTTAAAATTATCTATAACAGAAGGGCTGCACACCGTTTCTCCTCCATGCAAACACAGAAACATAAATAATCTGTGTAATATACACTGGGAGAGTGCATAAAGAGGACTATTTAGTTTTATGTCCACTGTAATGCAATGCAAGACGGCCCCATCCAAAACATTTCAGAACCTAATTTTCCCAATTCCCTCATTTTTTAAAAATAAAAACCATGATGCTTTTAGATATTATTATTCTTGCATCCTGGAGAGAGAGCTAAGAATTCAGTATTATCAAACATCCTTATGTTTCTGAAAAAAAGGATCAGCAGGAATCAGCCAGGCCAGCACATTTTCACCAAATGAAAAGATGAATTTGTTCTCTCGTTTTTTCCCCTTCTCTCTACTTTGCTTAATACACATTTAACTATTCATGGCAGTCTGTAACTCCTAGTCAAGGCCAGATAATGCCTCTGGTGAGAATGTCCAACAATACCCTTTACATAATACCAGCCACAGGACTTGGTCCCTCCCCGCTCGCCTAAACAGTAACACACACTAAACAAAACTGCTATTATGACAGGAACCTCTGGCTAAAAGGCTGCCTTTATAGCTTCTGTAAAAGAAAGAGAGAGAGAGAGAGAGAGAGAGAGAGAGATGTTTCCTTTCAATGAGTTTTTTTTTAAAAAAAAAACTTTTCTTCTTCATCATCTTCCTCCTCGTCGTCATCACCATTAATTGCAGCCGGATTTAGGAGCACGAAAGTAAACAGCAGGCAAAGCGTGGCTGGCTTTTTTCCTCCGGGGACACGTGTCTCCTCTCTCCCACTCAGCTGCCCACGTGAAGGGGACTCGGGGGGGGGGGGGGGGGCC